TGTTCTTTAGACTGAACTGTCGCGCTTCTCGTTGCGTCACACCTCAACCCTCCTCAAAGCCAACGCTGATTGGACGTTCGTTTGGTGAACGGCTCCAAATTTTCTTTCACGGAGAGTCTCCAGACTGATTAGCGAGTCAAACCTTGAAAGCTCGCGAGATCAGGATGGTCTCACGAGGCTAACCTACACCCACCCGTGGCAGAAAAAAAAAGGAAGGAAGGAAGACGCAGCAAGTGAGCCTGTGAGCCTACGCTCAGGGCAGCAAACCCAATATTACACATACAAATCTTCTCTATGCATCTAAGCAGGAGAGGAAGGAAGGAAGGAAGGAAGGAAGGAAGGAAGGAAGGAAGGAAGGAAGGAAGGAAGGAAGGAAGGAAGGAAGGAATCTGTTAATCATCAACATATTTGGTAGAAAACTGAGCGCTACAGTAGATCCTTCCTACCTACAGCTATCAACATCTACAACTTAAAAAAAACAACTGAGTTATAACAACATTTAATTTCCGGGATCAAAAAATTCTATTTGAAATGCATTCAATAAACCCTCACCGTTCATAGTGGCCACCACCCCCACCTATTTAGTTTTTCAGATCAACGTACAAAAGATTAATCTAAAAGGGGATTAAGTTTTTCGTTGTTCTAAAAGTTTATGATATGCAATATTTATTCCTCAGCTGCTGAGCGCCCTGTCACACCTTGCCGATTTAGCTGCGTCTGCGTGATGTCTCAGAATCTTCTAAATCACTGGCATACGCTGAACTTTCTATGTAAATTTTCAAGTTTGGGCGTATGCATAGAGTATTCCAAAAGAGTCCAGAACTTCTGTCCAACAACATCCTAACTTATGCATAACGCATGGCAGCATAACACCGATGAAATGTCACAAGCCAGTGTCCTAAAAGGGGCAGCCATGCACCCGGAGGTGCCTGGCCTGCATAAGATGATGTCTTTGATCGCTGTCAACTAGAGGTGTAAATCACATCCATCCTGGCAATTGAAATAAATCAATTGAAATAAATCAATGAAAGCTGTAATATCGTTATGCATTTTTTTTAGAAACAACAGCAAATAACAGAAGTAGAAAAGTTGCATCAAAAAATACTGCAAAAATCCTGCACAAAATCAGTGCAATGAGTGCAATTCAATACCTCGGCTCCAGACGTCCCGCCCCCCTCTGCAAACGCTCTGCTGTACCTCTCCCAAATTGTAACTGACGGCAGACAGGAGGCCAGCTTGTTTTGTTTTTATGACCGAAATTG